TATTTCAGGTTACTTTAAAAAGAACGTGCCGACTGGTGGACCGAAATATTTTTTGAAAACCTTTAGTTGTTTGTAATCGGGGTTGTTAGAATACTTTATCGGCTTTAATTTATCGGATAACGTTCAGATGACCTTCTATTTTAATTTTTTAGCGTGAAATTCTTTATTTATTTACCTCAACTTTTGACTTTGTCCTTTCAAGGAAGTGAGTTAATTTCACTATATCTCCAAAAATGCTCTTACATGCGTGGCAAAATCACTGCACGACTTGTCAACTTCTAACCTCAGCTTGATCATCATTTTTTCTTTTTCTCACACCGTCTAGGGCCTAGTCCCACCCAGAGCAAAAAGCTGTGCCTTCGAACTTGTTTACGAACTTCAACTCCCGTTGTGATGCAGATTGCGTCAATGAAAATCACGATGTTATCTTCCGTCAGCTTAACCTCTTGCTCACATTCAAGCCCGTGTGTATCCCCTAGTAGAGCTGGAAATCCTCAACGAAAGCGCTTACGTACGACACCACAGCTGAGAAGGCGATTAGCCTGAGGGAAAAATGGAATATCCTCCTTTGTTGCTATGGAACACACACTTTCATCGTTTTTGCTTTCCTTTTACTCATTTCGAACAAAGTGACAGATGTATTTGTGCCTGTGAGTGTTCTTTTTCTAAGCACATGCTGTCATTATTCATATTTCCATTCAGATCTCATGGCCTCGCATACGGCTTCTTATCACATGCCTTTGATTGGAATTTTTTGCAGTTATCGTCATTTTCCTTTGCCACCAAGTTTTCGAGAATATTTTTGCCCTTTTGACTACGTCAATCTTTCTAATTGTTTACAGATGACAGAGACATGTGCGTTACTTCGAGCTAACGGAACTGTGCCTTCGTCATCACCCACCATTGCCATCAATGTTGGAGGCCGAAGAGCAAGGCTATCGGTCGAGCTGGTAAATTTGCATACTTATTGCCCAGAATATTTTCATAGAAGGAATAATGCACAATTGCTTTCAATTTTGCTTTTTGTAATATTGAAAAAACTAGATATACTGGCAAGCGGGAGTCACAGAAAAGAAGTGGAATATTCTGACATTTGCGAGAGAAGACAATTTTTGAAGATTCTTTTTAGAAATTTAGATCTTTGATATGCATGTAGTTTAGAGAGTAATTTGGAACATCAGGCTGCGTAACATATCTACACTTTACATCCAACTTCAGTTTGCTTCTTAGAGCATGATTTTTCTTGAAAAATTACTAGGGAACCTTCTAAAGGTCATTTTATTCTGGAATAAAAACGTAAAACTCGAAAGTCTTGTTATATATAGAATTGCATAAGGAAATTGAATCCCTTTCTCTTCCCTTGGACGGAGTGAACTTAGGAGTAAATGAAATATTCAAAGGAAAATTAGCGTCTAGCTAATGTTATTAACAGTTTACAATTCTATCAAGTGAAAATATTCCAAAAGCTACAAAATATAGAGTTTCTAACCAAATTCGAAATTCTGAAATGCTTGTAATATTGAGACATAAAAGTGGCGGAACTCTTGACTAACCTATTCACATTCTTAATAAAAGATTAAAGTGTACAAATTGTTTTGTTGGTTACCGTTGTGGTATTTTCACTTGCATTATTGTTTATATGTTTCTCTAGAAGATGTATTCGAACCACTACTTCAAATTATCGCAAAGATTACGGCGATAGATAAATTTGAGAAATAAAACCCAAATCTTACTTCCACTTTGCCATTCACATCTGTTTTGCAGGTAAATCGACGACTGGAAAGCTGCCGGCTCTCTAGCTTTTTCCGTAAGTCTCACATCGAGAAACTAACGGATTGTGATGCATACTTCGAACATACCGGAGAATACTACTTTGAGCGAAGCCCGATCATTTTTGAATACATCGTCGACTTCTTCGTCACAGGTAGATGGGTTTCACAACTAATCATCTTTAGTGCTTGTTCCTTGAATATCATTTATAGCGTGTATCCGCGTTGAATATGTCAGTATCCCTCAGAAAAACGCAGTAAAAGCATGATTGAACTTCTAGCCTTTCCACCTTTGGTTGGATTTTTTCGTTGAAACCAGGCTAAAACAATGACATAACACCATCATATCGTTAATTACTATTTTTACATTTTTCATTTTAAGGATATAATGTGGTCTCAATATGAAAAGGAAAGAATATATAATTCCATTACTTGTGTGACCTGTAATTTTGCAAATTTTCTGTGCATGCTTTGGAACTGAATACTCATGCTGTATACTTCCAAAAAAAATCGAATCATTATTACTCACAAACAATCGCAAGGCTCTTCATGTCGTTTGCAAAAGCTCTGCAGATATATCGTAAATTTTTTCTCACTTGAAAAACCTCACTCCAAATTTCTTTCACAACAAAAAACTGAATGGTGCGCGCCATTCATGAGAAAATCTGATGAAAATTCTTATGCGTGTTCGCATTATGAAACTTGAAATTTTGAAATTTGAAATTTGAAAGTGGAAAATATAAGGCAAACTTAATTAAGTGATCGTTAAAAAGTTTTTGCTGAATGATCGTTCACGCCATTCACAGCTTTGATATGTCCTACATAATGTCTCGGATGATAAACATAATGGTAAAATCACAAAACGGGGCTACCTATGCATATTCAATTGCATATCCTTTCAATTGGACGGTAAGAACACTTTCCTTGTAAGGAAGCAGCATTAGGCGATAACAACACGTGTTTTGGACTTATACAAGCTGAAATATTTAA